TCGCGTTCCGCACTAGAGAAGCTTTTTGCCGTCCTGGGACTTTTCGAGCGAGCTTGAGCTCACGGCTGAGAGCGGCTGGAAAAGTAGGCCTTGAGCCTGGTCGCCGGCAGGAAGTCACACAACCATTCATATGGCGCAAGGCAACATTTTAAGAGCTCAAGGCAGCATCAGCTCCCCTCCAAAAGATGGTCATTGCCGGCACCAAGACACAAGACAGAGAAGGCCCAGGTCACATCTTCAAGCTTGATGCAGGGTGCACTTTAGTTCTGAGTGGCAGGAATGGCGTAAGAAGAGCAAGCTCCAGATCTGGGCAAAGCAGTCCAAGCCATGCAGAGCAGAGTAGCAACTATGAGGTGTCATTGAGCCACCAGCCACACGAAGAACATGTTCCAGACCTGGGTTCCACAACTGTATCCAGCACCAAGACAGATCACAAGAGCGCAGGTCACATCGACGCAGACATGGATGCAACACAAGAATTGTCTGACCCAATTTAGGGCATGACTAGTAAGTCTTTTGTCGTAGAAGACAGGCGTGTGCCCAGGTCAGTAAACGAGATATGGGTAAATGGAGGCTCACAGTTCACTGTGGCCCGGCCCGCCCCAAGTATCTTCCGCCGCGTCTGTGCATCCATTGTCAAGCCAGCTAGTATCCCCACACTTAGATTTGCGCGACTTTTCCGGATTGCCCCGAGTATCCCCCCACTGGGTCCGCGGACCGCAAGATCCTTCCAGCCGCCCGAGCCTTCTCGAGAAATCGAAAGATGCCCTAGATACCCTGGGTTCATTGTTGGGCGAGGTGCAGACAAACCGCCAGCTCACAGCAGTTCTGCACAGTCGACCGATCAGTTAGCGTCAATCAACAAACCAGGCCAGCAAGAGGATCATCATGGAACCGGCCAAGGACCTAACATTCCACGATCTTCACATTCCAGTTTGTCAACTGAAGCTGGAGGCGCAGCAGTTCAGCGTCAAGTGGAGACGCGGCGGGCAGAGTCGGAAAGCCAACAGTCCAGTCCGCTTTGGGGCCGACGGCAACAAAACTGGCCAGTTCTCAACAGAATGAATCTGCCTGCGCTGTCGAATAAACTGGAAAAATGAACTTGATTCTGGCCGTCGCCGTTCATTCGGAACCGACGGAAGCGAATCTGGTGCGTCTACTGGATGAATGGTCATTGAAATGGAGCATAAAGGAGCTGTGGGACCGGTACCTACGAGAAATGCTGCCTCTCGGGCCCTCTTCTCCCCCTTCCCTTCTCCACGTTTGCAACACTGCAAGCTCTTTGTAACAATTGCAATACCTTTCAAATACAAGATTTAGAAAATCAAAAACATGATACTACAACTGAGTTTCCGCTTTCTGCTGCCTGGTCGGCAAGAGGCCTGGATCTTCTTCTTGCAGACTCTTCTAAGCAACCTGCGCGTCTCATCTCTCAACCTGCGTCTCCCAAACGCCGTTCACGCGTCTCGAAGGTTGAGGCCTTGGTATGATCCAAGGGGCTTGCCCTTGCCGAAGAAGGAGGGCTTGTGGAGGATTTTCGACCCACTAGGTCGTGTTCCAGTGCCGCCTTTCTGGTTAGTGAGCACGTCGCCAAGTTGCAGCAACGTTTTTCTGGAGAAGTGCAGCGTTTTTGAACATTGATTTGCTTGAATCGAAGCAGTCAGACGCCCGGTAACCCCGCCCACAGTGGCATCTCTGGCATTTCGAGAGCTTTGAATGAAAGTGCAGAGCCGTCAATCATTTTCTGCGAAACCGGTTCTCTGGCAAAATGGACCTTGATCGCGATCCGCTGCAATCCCAAAATGGGTCTTTATTGATCTTCTGAATCTGAAAGGACATCCAAACCACGCGATCACTCTGGGCTCATTTAGTGGCGGTGGAGTCTGGGTCGAAAATGATGCTCCGGCAGAAGTGCAGATAAGAATGTCTCTTAACGGAACGTAGTACAACATTACAAGCCGATTACTTTCAACCGCTCGCCGCTTTCATCAAGTCGAGCCGCATAAAGGACACATGTGGGCATCCTACACACCGCAAGCGTTCAAATGGCTCACAAAATGAAAACGTGGAGAGGCTTTTATCAGAGGCTTGCCATGGGCCTGCTTGGCAGCCAGCGGCTTTCCAGCTCCCACATGACTGCTGCTGGCTTGGTGGAGCGCCGCACAGGGTTGCTTTTTGAGTAGCAAGAACTTGTTTCCCTCAGGCGATCATGCCTTGGAATTGCATAACCTGGCCTTTGAAAGTACCTGAGCGATGACTGTAGTTTCACACACACCTCAAAACGAGTTGATGACTCGGATGTGCTGAGCGGTGCGATAGTGCGCCAGCGAAAAAAGTTCCTGTCAGCCCGCAGCCTGATCAGGAAGACCTAAGACAAAGTTCCTGCCCTCAGTTGCAGCCTCAGCTCGTTTCGAGCGCTTCAGCCCGCACGGCTCTAAGCTCCTCTTCTAAGTCAGGCCCGCCGGCTAAACCGCTTTTGCTCGCTTGGGCCTGAGCTCTTGCAAGCTCACTTGCGTACTTGCAGCTTACTTGCTGCAGGTCCACTGGAGAGACTCCAAGCTTTAGCCTGGGCCTTTGGGACTCTGGTTCCTCTCACAACGCCTTGCGAAGGTTAGCCCAAGCCTGAGCTTGGTTCTTACAGTACGTTTCACAAAGCCTGAACTTCAGAGTTTAGCCCAGATTCCTTCTGGTTTATATACGTTTTCTCACAGGGAGCCGAAAGCGCTGGCCAGAGAAGCTTGAAGCCTTCTTGCTTCCAAGCTTTCTGAAAGCTACACCTCAGATTAACCCAAGAAAAAAAGAGAGTGCTACTCTTGTGCTTGTTGTGGTAAGTTTTGGGCAAGAGCAGTGCAACCACACAGAACTACATCCTCAGGGCCATTCCTAAAACCGGCACAGGGCCTGTCTTTTCCCCGTCCTGAAAATAAGGGCTGTGAGTGGAGTACGTTGACGTGCTTACGTGAATCGATTGCAATTAATAACAAATATAAATATATATATTTTTTCAACTGAAGGATTGATTTGTTTCACATATTCAAACCAGAATACAATTTGAAGTTCTCGCATGGGAGACTTCATGAGTGCATGGTTTCCCTGTGTGTGTGTGTGTGTGCGAATTTTGCATGAATTTTCTTGGGACCTTCAATTTGGCACATTGGGTGGTCATCTCTATGCACCGTGCCGCAATCTCAAATCTCTGACACGTAGGCCCAAAGTGAAACTTCTGTCTCGACCATCCACCTTGTGATGCCTTGTCCCAGGAGACACCACCAAAAGTAAATGCGTGAATGGCGTTCAAAAGATCTCCTGCGTGTGTGATGCTTACGGGCGTCGGCATGTTGAGCTGGCATCACTCGACTTAAGTCTTTCGGACCTACCCCCATCCGTATGCGCGTGATGAAGAAAAGAAAGTGTGTGCGAGTCTGAGTGCCGCGTGTATTCGGCATGTTAGTTGTGAAATGAGTGCACAAATCCGTAGTTGTGGTTTTCGACGTTTTGTATTTGGGTTACATCGCTTGAGTCTTATTAGGATGGAAGTTGACAGGACTTTTGAGGATTGTGCTATTGGGAAGAAAAATTCGGCAGATACAATTCCGCCTTGCAGCTACGCATTCCTGAGCAACTTTTGACAAAAATGTAAAGTCTTCAGCGTCTTTGCTTTGCTGTTTGGTACAAGGGAAAACCATTTTTTGGACGCGTGCTGAGTTGCCATAGTTGCCGTTTGCTTTTTGCTGCAATTATGCTTGCAGTTTACATTTTTCAATTGTGACAGGAGCTTACTTTGACCCGATGAGCAGTGAGATCTGGGATGCACAGACGCATTTTTACAAAAGCACACTTCAAGATCAATAATGGTACCAGGGCTGATGTTTTTTTCTGCCCGCGTCAAGCTTTGCCCCAGAACTCACCAGGATTCTTTGCAGTGGACGTTTGAAGACACCCCCAACGACTGCAAACGGTTCTTTGGGGAAATTAATGTTTGCATTGTTTGCTTCTCAATTGCCAGAAGCCAGAAGCAGACTAGTATCCGCAAGCTTCTTTCAACGGTTCGAACGAATCCCGACCAATCCTACAACACAACAGAATTGCGCTACACCACAAACGGTTTTGAAGCCATGGCGCAAAAGGCTGTGTGGCGACCCCGGTTGGCCAAACGCGTGCTCCAGATTCCTGGTAGCGGTATCCGCGAGGCTGGGTTGACGCGGGCTGTGAATGTACTGTTTGTTTGACATCATTATGCCAGATGCGTTTTGCCATTAGCAACCTTATAATGTTGGTTGCCGGAAAGATGACGAGGCTGTACGGGGAGTGGGCGCCTATCGATTGTTTGGCATAATTTCTTGCAGGGAAAATCGGATATGTCCAGTTTCTTGGCCATTACTGGCGTGCGAACCTGATCACAGTGCATTATTTTGTCAAGTGGCCTGCAGGTCATGAGCAAATCAATGGCATTGCGAGATGCTGGAAAGGATGTCATCAATTGGCACATAGGCCAAAGTGCCATTGTGGACAGCGTGCGCGAGTATGGTGTCCATCAATTGATGTAAATGCTGCAGCGTTCGCAGGCCGACCCGACTTTGATACGCCTTCGCACATCAAGGATGGAGTTTGACTGTCAAACATGCCTGTTGTTCCAAATCAATATCATTATAGGCCCTCGTTTTGGTGACGTCAGCGCGTGCTACGGCCCTGCAAAAGTCCCAGGAAGCCTGTTCTGAAGCTCTTCGTAGAGGCCATGTGCACTATGCACCAGCGGCTGGCCTTCCGCAACTTCGGTGTGCTTTGGCAAAACGCGCATCACAGGATATCATCAAGTTGAGTCCGTGTTCTGCATGCGTGTGTGGAGCCTCTGTTGTCTGCAGGAGTATGCAGGTGACGTAGATCCAGAACGTGTGGTTGTTTGCAATGGCGGGATGGAAGCAGCAGCTCGGACTGAAAGGGCGGCTTGCTCCAGTGCAATGCTTTGGCTTAAATTCTTTGTTCAACAACGCAATGATATTGAACAAATCTTGGAGCCTTGATGAACTGTTGCAAGCAGATCTTTCTGCCTTACCTTGGGTTCGTCAGTTCAGACTTGTCAGGAATACGCCCTTTGCTCGCCGTGCATGCCACGAGAGGAGTGTTGCTTTTGAGCGTGACCAAAGGTGACAGTGATCCTGCATACATTTCTGGAAGAGGGCGATGAAGTAATTGTGCCTACTCCCAACTGGCCGAACATGAAGTGGGCGGTGGCAATGGCAGGCCATTTGCAAGTGGTTTGCCAGCAACATTTGGACATGTAGGCTTTGGAAAATGATCTTTGGGGCGATAGAGCTATTACAGGATTGATTGCAAAGGGATTATGCAGGCTCCTATGAAATGCTATGAAATGCTATAGCGGATTCGAGCAAATCCCCGTGTTGATGCATAATCGGCCGTGCTGCAGCCCCCAGCCTTTGCCATTTCTAATAGGCAAAATCCGCATTAATCACTAACCTAGCCCTTCAAGTTGGTGTGCAGGTGGAAAGCCAGTAGAGGTGCCACTTCAGCAAGGAGTGCTCACCGCTAAGGCCTGTGGGCAAGGCTTTGCTTTGTTGACGGGATATATTGTCCTACCGATCTGCCGAGAGCTGACTCAGCCAAGCTATAATTACAACCGAACGTGTTGAAAACATGTCTCTTGTGACCATTGCTAAACCCTCGTATTGTTGAAGTATACTGTGCACCATCAATTCCCCAGTCAACTAATTCAGGTTTGGACATGATTTGCTGTTCTGTTTTGCTCCGCCAGGCCATTGCTGGCGCGGTGACGCACAGGACAAAGGCAGGGATCTTCATTGCTTCGGAACCCCTGACCCCTGACATACGCTACCCATCGACTTTATTCTTGGTATCCAGACCTTCAAGGAGTCCACTTGCGATGCCAGGCCAGGGCAGGCTGAATGAGGATTGGACCCCAAGAAGCTGCAAGGTCTGTCTCTATTCGCGGCGAGAAAGACTTGGCCATCAGAAGAATCATTGCTAAGACCATCATGTTGGCCTTTGTCGGCTGCTTTCATCTTTTCTTAGTTTTCATGACTGCATCCTCTATCCCTAAGATCCCTATATAACCCCAATATATCCCTATTACAACCCCTATATAACCCTTATATAATCCCTTATGCCAAGTGCACCAGCCCCAGTTGGCAGTTTGCCGTGCTGTCATCGCCTGGGAATCCGCTGGGAACTGTCACCGGGTCCGATGAGCTGAAGCGCATCAGCAAGGTTCTGGAGGAGAAGGACCGACATGGTCATGTGAACTACAAGGGTTTAGGGTTTAGGGTTCAGGGTTTAGGGTTTAGGGGGATATAGAGGGGATTAGAAAGTGGACTATTAGAGGGATTCGGAAGGGGGACCATGGCTCATGTAGGGGTATGCAGGAAGAATGGAGAATCAAATGGAAAGGAAATTGGAAAATGAAATGGAAACAACAGTATAAAGGGGCAAATCTAGCAATATTACCCCAATTATGACCCAATGATGAAGAATCACGTGGAGAAGAGGATGGAGAGTGAAATGGAAACATGTTGGTGTGGGGAAGTGAAGTGGAAGAGGTATAGGCTTATGTTGAGGATGCTCTACCGGGGTGCCCTGGACATTGCAAAAAGCACTCAGTTTGGCTCATGCCCACATGCCTCAAGTGTAGCCTTACCTTCATGCTTCGAAGCCTGCAGGATCTGATGGCAATTAGTGATGAGACTTACACAAGGCGCTCTTTTCCAAAGATGAAAGTTGAGTTTGCTCCTCACAGACATAATTCCAGAATCAAGTGTTGGTCATGGATTTGTAAGTGCATGTTTAGACAGGACAAATATATATATATATATATATTTATCTGTATTCATACACCAGAAAGCTCAGTATCATGTAGAGTGTTCGTTGGAGTAGGGAATGGCGGACCCAACTTCTAATGGCCTCCTTGGGATGCGTGCAAAATGGTGCAAACAGGACGGCCAACCCCCTCAGAAGCAAGAGCAAGATCGGTACACCCCTGCTGATTAAAGAGCCCGACACTTATGCACATGAGTATGAATTTCATACAGCTCGCATTAAACATTCCACCTGCCACCATGCATATGCTGTATATTATGTGCTATACCTATACTGTAAACTCGTTATGCGGTTTGTACATTTAAGTTGCATGTACATACATTGCAGACCTCGCTTCAGGCTCTACTATGGGGGGAGCTCTGGATCCACCGCTCCCTCAATTCTGGGCATCAAAGGCTGGGTGGAGACGAGAGTGTAGAGGCAAGTGATGGCGGACTGCAGCCAGCATTCTGAAATTCGAAATGATTGTTTCACCTTGGTCACATTCCAAGAATCCACATGGAATCATGATCCCGTCTGACTGTTCTTCATGCTGCAGTTGTCGAAATGTTGGTCAGGTATGTCACAGCGCTGTTTCGCCGCAAGCACATTCTCGAAGACGTACGCAGCTTGCGACAAAAGAGTGAGTTGAACAGTTTCATTTCTTGACATACAAATGGCACAACCAGCTTTTACCCAACTTGATAGGACACAACTCGTACACTTGTGCTTGCAAGATTGTAGGGCGTAGGAATTTTTCGTTGCAGCAACGTTCATGCTCCGGTGTGCACAGGCCATGGACGGGTGGCGATTAGGCTGGGCCCTCTGCCCAGATGCTGAAGCTGCCGCCGCTGTCGCCAAGACAAGGCAGGAGGGTCTTGATCCCTTTCTACATGAGCTATAGTCTACACTCCTTAAACGGGGTTTCTGTAGGGGACTATATAGGAGACTGCTGTACGGGTTATTCAGGTAGATACTAGGAGTTTAGACCATGGCACAAGGTTTTACAGGCAGGACTTGGTGTGGGGATGTGGCAGTTATCGAAGCCCCTAGGTCCACTTGTAAAGTTAAACTGGTCTGGACAACTACCCTGCAAATGCTTCAGTGCAAGAGAATGAAATCCTCCAAAGCTTTGAGGGGCCTCTGTGCTGCTTCTTGACTTTCTCTTAGATTGGGGGGTAGGGTTTGAAGGAAGGGTGATCTTCCACCAGAAGGAGCAATCGAGGGGATTTCTTGTTGTTCCAAACCTTCGTCACCCAGATCACCTCCATTTACAGCAGTGGATGTGCATAGTGGCTATGCCTGGGCCAGCTGCAGACATTGAAAGATGCAGGGCATTCTTCAAATTAAGGCATGCGTCCAGTGAAGGTCTTTGAGTTTAGATTCCCTTAAATCCTAAACCCCCAAGCTCAGAATGAAACATCCCTGTCAGATACTACTTCTCGGCATGTTCCCCCACGCCCGGGCCTCAAGCTCTTCTTTGGTATCCTTGGCGCGACGCGGGCATGTGCTACTGCGGACTGTATTACAGTCCTGGCTATGTTTTCGCTGAGATTGGGTCTGCAACAGGGCATTTCTGCAGAATAACTACTCTTTGCCAGCTTGGCCACGCCAATCAGGTTCACTCAACATGCAGGAGCGACTGCATTGTCTTCTTCACAAGACTGCGTGGCGGAAATGGTGGCCGAGTATGATCAGCGTCGGTCGGTCCTTGTAGAGGGAAGCTTGGAGTTGCATAGTTGCATACATATTACCCCAATATAACGCCAATGTAACCCTAATATTACCCTAATGTAACCCTAATATTACCCCAATATAACCCTAATATCCTTCTTCTCCCAGCTTTTCATATTGATTGAACCCAAGGACTCCGGACCATCCCGGGACTTAAATTGAAGCTCGGCAGCCCTGGGTTACTTCAGGGGCTTGCAGGTCATTGGTATCCCAGTCAGTTTGGTTCAGGGGTGTTACTTTGGGGTTTGAGAATCCAGTTTTGGGATCAGGGCCTGGCGTGGAACCCTATACGCGCAAAGTCCTTCATTTTTTGCTGGGAACCCTTTATTTTCCCATTGACTTCACAGGAACTGCAAGATGGAGATGGGAATGTCTGGATTGCCTGCCATTTGTGTAGATTTTTCTACCTGGAGTCATACCTACGAGAGCACGTGTTCATGCCAGGCCTTCTTTGGCTTGCTGGCCGTCGGCATCATACACGGGACAGGATCAAGTCTGGCAGGGGCTTTTTTTTGCTGGAAGGTGTCCAGGCCCTTGGATCGAGAAATGGATCATGTAGGTGTGTTTGGACTCTAGGGGGCCTCAACACACCGAACAACCAGGTTCTGGGTGAAAAAACCACGGAAAGAACCAGACAGTTGCCACACTCGGGCCTGCCCTACATACCCATTACATAAGGTTGCTAAAAGACCTCCTCCCTTCCCAATAGTTAATATTCTTTACATTTTTTCGGGGGGAGGTCTAGTATTACCCTGAGGCTTGAATAATACCTACACTGGGCCAAAAAGTTGATGAATAGTACCTAGCCTTAGTACTGGGGGGTTGGAGATCACCCTTCTAAGGCCAGGCGGTAGCCCCGAAGGCGCTTACTACGTCTTCCCCGACGTGTCCTCTTTCGGGGACTCCGCGGAGCTCGCCTCTTTGCGAATGGAAGTGAAGTTTCCCCAATCTCGCTGCTCCCCGTGTCGTCCTCAACAACAGAGACAGACAGGTTCAAGCATGTCCATATATGATTACATATATATATATATTTGCAGAATTGCATAGGCACACATATGTATACATTCATATCTTCGGTCAAATTTGTATATGTGTGGTACAGTATGTTGTAGGCACTTCTCTTTCCTTTTTTTGTTTGCATCTCATTCCAGCAAGCGGCAGTAGGGATCCCAAATCGCGGAGAGTGCCTTGTGTGCCCCAATGTGCCCCAGGACTCTAGTGGATCGTTCTAGCGACGCATAGTTTTGTCTCAGCATGAAAGCCGCAACTCCTGCGTTTTAAGGTGCGCGTAGTCTTTGTCATACGGATCAATATGGCCATGAGGCTAGATACCTACTGGAGGAGCACCACATTGCCGTGGTTGATGGAGGCGCAGCAAGGTGTGCTGTGAATCAGGGTAAAGGCAGTCCTGAACATGGCGATTCCCCAAAAAACGCTCGTCCCAAACCAACGGAACCTTTTGAAACCCTTTGAACATGTTTCCTTCTATTGCTTCGAATACTTTCGCCGACTACCATCACTGCTATGAAGTTCATAGAACACTACAACTACTGATGTAACTTCCAAAGGCGTCTTCGGCAAAGAAGGGCAAGGCCATCTCCGAATAGCTTATTCATGCTCGACGGAGGAGTTTGCACAGTCATGGGATAGGATTTACGGTTCAGAGTTTTTTTGGTTCAGAGGTAAGTCCAGCTTCCTCTTATCGGACTTGGGGACTACGGTCCCGGCAGGGGTACCGAACGTCAGCGGATTGCTAGGTTGCACATGTGGGTCATGTTCAAGGACCAGTGGCGACTTTAGGGTGTCTTGGTTGATGCATCGCTAGTAGTACCTGGAAATTGAAGACCTGAATTAAACTGCATTGCCACTTCAGTTGTTTGTAGAAGACTTCATGGATCTGAACTGAGGACTGCCGGCGCGGTGTGGAGCGCCTGGCGCAAGCCCTATCCGCGCGCTGAGCTGTGTACTTCTACCCATCCTCTCGCTCCTTTGTGCGAGAAAAAACGGTTGCAAACGACTGCAGCTGACGAGATTCTAAAGGCTTTGCCAGGATTTCTAAAGCAAGCTTCGGCCAGACTCGGTCGAATGCAGTAGTTTTGCTGCAAAAACACTGGCGCGTAGCGGCTCATGTCTTGCATGCTTGCCAGCAAGGCACCAGTCCTTGATGGGGGCGGGCTGGCTTGACATGTCTTGTCTCGCTGTGGCATGACCACGCACTATGTTGGCACTTGCGGTTGATTTTTTTCTGGTGCGCAGCTGTCTTCGACTCAAACATACACGGAAAATGCGTTGGGGAGCTTGTGACGAAGAACGTTTTTCAGTGGATTGACGCATTGCAGTGCCATGTTGTCTTGTATGTGACTGTCCAACTAGCTAAGCTCGTTTTGGTACAAGTGGCTGGGTGAACTTTGCAGAGGATGTAAGAAGAAACATGAAACAGAGTAGAGTACTAAAGGATGCTGAGCTATTACTCAGACTCTGATGAAGAGGAGCCCAGGCCAAGTGAGAAGCCTGGCATCCCGAGTCAGCCAGAGCCAACCGAGCAGGAGAAGCCGAAAGCCCCCGAAGGCGATCAGGAGGATGAGGATGAGGCAGACGAGGCGGCTGGCCTTTCTGAACCTACCAAGCCTGCGAAGCCTGTGAAACACGAGCCATCAGACCCTGCCTCTGAGGAAATAGTGCTGGATGCCTCGACGCCATTCAGCAAGGTGATTGACATTTGGATCGCGCAGTCGGCCCGCACGGGGGATGGCCCTCCCCCGGAGTATAAGGCTGAGATTATGCAGGTGTACGAAAGTGCGCCCCCGGAAGGGCGAGAGCAGATGCTTCGGGACATGCGGGACATGGTTATTAAGCAAGCAGACGAGCTAGCCCAGGCAGAGGAGGAGGCTGAATTTGCGGAAGAGGCCACCATGGACCTGCCGTCCGATCGTCGGCAGGTGCCACAAGACATGCCTGCAGCTGTTGTGCCTGAGGAGCTCTCAGTCCCGGCTGCTGCGGTGGCCGGGACATCGCCCGGGGTGTCGGTCAGGGCACAGCCCTTGGCACCTCGATCGGCTCCGGTAGACGAATCCACGCCCTTCGGGGAAGTCATTGACATTTGGATCGCCCAATCTGCGCAGACGGGTGACGGTCCGCCTCCTGAGTACAAGGCCGAAATTATGCAGGTGTACCAGGATGCTCCGCCAGAAGGGCAAGAGCAGATGCTGCGAGACATGCGTGAGATGGTCATCAAACAGGCAGAGGAGCTGGCCGAGCTGGCACAGGAAGATGCCAAGCCTGCAAAGCCTGAGAAAGAGAAGGTGGAGAAGGTTCCGAGTGGCCAGGTTGAGGAGGAGGCCAAGATTGCAGCTGAGAAGAAGGTTGCAATGCTGGCACGTATGGGTGCGCTGAAAGGGCCACCTCCTGGGCCACCACCTAGGCCAGACCCTGAGACCCAGGCTACTGAGCCTGTCGAGGAGGAGATTCCGGATCCCAAGATTGTAAAAGTCTACTTCGATATTGCCGTGGAAACCACGCGCATTGGACGCATTGAGATCGAGCTATTTTCAGAAGTCGTGCCACGCACCGTGGAGAACTTCCGCTGCCTCTGTACAGGTGAGATGGGCCGCAGCGTGAAAACCAGACACCGCCTGAGCTTTGAGGGATCGGTCTTCCACAGGATCATCCCTGGCTTCATGTGTCAAGGGGGAGACTTCACTCGAGGAGATGGTACTGGTGGCGAGTCTATCTATGGAGAGAGGTTTAACGACGAAAACTTCGACTTAATGCACAAGAAAGGATGTCTGTCCATGGCCAATGCTGGGCCGGACACAAACGGATCTCAGTTCTTCATCTGTACGGCGGCCACGCCTCACCTTGATGGCAAGCACGTCGTTTTCGGCCAGGTATTGACAGGATATGACGTAGTAGAGAAAATGGAGTCCTTAGGTCACCGATCCGGCAAAGTAGCCAAGAGGGTGAGTATCCTAAGCTGCGGTGAGATCGTGACGCAGGAGGAGAGAGCTCCCAAGATCCCGCGCGTAATTGACACTGCTCCAGCAGCACGCTTGGCCTGCGAGCCAGGCGAGGTGGTGGGGGGCGGCCTGGGACTTCTGGGACTGCTCAAGGAGGCCGACACCCAGGCAGCTCACGAAGCCTACAATGCCATGAGTATTCTCCCATCACCGGAGGAGGAGCAGGGCGAGCCTGAGGAGGTCCATGTTCTTCACATCCTCCGAAAGCACACGGAGTCCCGAAAGCCAAAGAACCGTGGAGGCCAGCCGATCACCTGTAGCAAGCAGGAGGCTGAGCAGTACCTTGAAGAGATCGCCAACCAGCTTGTTGGCCTACCAGCCGAGAAGCTGCGGCAAAGTTTCGCGGAGCTGGCTAAATCTGAGTCCGACTGTGCCTCCGCGAAGAAGGGCGGAGACTACGGCCGTTTCCGGCGGGGCCAGCGCGAGCAGGCTTTCGAGGATGCATCCTTTGCTTTGAAGGTTGGTGAGGTCTCCAACATCGTGTCCACTTTGTCAGGTGTGCACTTGATCATGCGCGTGCCGTGAAAAGCAGAGCGACGCACATGTGCATGCAAGCCCGACAGCATCCATTCCGTGATGAACACTTTCTCTCTGGCGTTGTTGGTATTTGCTTGAGATGATGGATCGTGCTTCAGGTGATTGCAGGGGCTCCGTACAGTATGTGTTTTTCTGGAGTAGAAGCGTGAAATCCTTTTCGAGAAGCGTTTCCTGGCAAAGCACTCTGTGCTTCTACTTGCACCAGCATGCTTTATATGAAGAAGTAGCAGTTGGAATGAAGCAGCTGTAGAACTGTAGAAGTACTCTGCCGTCGACATGCTATCATGCAACTAGACTGAGTATCTGGGTAGATTCGCTTTACACATCAGGGGGTTCCTTGTAGATGTTTTCTGCGTCTGGAACTCAGCAACTGGGTAGAGAGCTCCCCAGCTTCCAAACTCAAGCTTTTGGGTGCTGAAAAATCAGGCCCTCAGCAACTAGCTTGTGTAACTATCCGTGATGTACTCTCCACTCGCAGTTCCAACCACTTATGTAACAGTGGATCGTTCACAGCTAGAGGGATTCTTGTATCCTGACTGCTGCAGTGGCCCCGCCTGCAGATTTTGCCTGTTTTCTGTTGTACGAGGCAGCTTTCTTGCAAACGTTAAGTGTGCGAAGTGTTGGTTTGCATCCAGCTCAAGCTGCATTTGCTTGTCACCTGTACCGATGCGGATGAATTTTTGCGCAGTATGGACCAAGCTGGAGGGGCGTGACATGTACGTTGAACAGCTACCGCCCAGTTTGGGTCCTATGCAACACTCTGGCACGTAGCTTCACACTCTTTCCAGCAGTCTCGTGGGGATTTCCCTTAAGGTGGCTGGCTCGTGTTTAGATCCCTAGACCTTGGGACCCTTCTGTTTTGAGCGACTCATCCCTGCCCGCGCATGGCAACATGTTGCGGCTTTCGCGTGTGGATGGGGCTCTTCATGTCCGGAACGCTGACGCTGTTTCTCTACATAAATGTCTCCATCTCAGAGAAAGGAGGGGTAGCTGTTGCAGCTGAAAGAATCGTGAGAACTCAGGCGATGTTCGGCGAAGACGACTTCAGGGAGAGTGTTTTGGAAAGCAGACAGGTTTCTGTTGTCAAATGGATCAGGCATTTTTCAGCGAATGCAAGCCGAAGTTATTAAACGTTGCGCAAGCTCAGTCATGCAAGAAGAGTTGGAGAAGTCCTCTGATGTGCACCGTGCAGCCATGTTGTCTTACCTTCGAGTTCAGCTTTCTTTGGAACACTGCACAAGCCTTTCATTGCTGATTGCAAGGGCCGGATTGCATTGTAACAGTTTTTGAGGCAGCGACCCGCCAGAGGACTCACAGGCAAGAGGTTGTTTGCTGCTAAGACTGCTATGACTTTCCTGGGGCACTAGACTATTCTCATTCCCGCTGCGCTGAATATAGGATAGTTCGACAGTCAGGATATAGGGGTTTCCCAAAATTACGGGTACCATTTTGGGGGTCCCACCAATAAGGGTTATAGTATTTTGGGGTCTATATTGGGGGTCCCCCCTATTTTGGGAAACTACCATATCCGCATATCAGCCCTCAACCCTAAACCCTAAATTGTAGTTTCCATTTTATTTTCCATTATCCCTATATAACCCAAATATACTGTAGTACAGTAGTTTCCATTATATTTTCCATTATGCCTAAGCCTTATATACCCTAATACCCTAATATAGTTCATTATCCCTATATAACCCCAATCTAACTGAGTCCTTGTGCATGCTAAGCTCTTACGGTTCCGTGCAGGCTGAGCTGCAAGCTGCAGCAAAGACGCGAAGTGAGTCAAGGACAGTTGGGCCCTAAGATGGGGTTTAGGGTTTAGGATTTAGGGTTTAGGGTTGAGGATTTAGAATGCCAAATCCGAAGTCCTGACCCCAAAACTTTGAATCAACTCCGGCTTTCCTACCTCGAGCCCTACATTTGAAATCCTAAGCACGGATATCCTCAACCCCGCTCTAAATTTGTTTGTGCGCGATTGGTATGCAGAGATTCTGAGGAAGTGTCAGTCGGTCATGGGGTGTGGGAAATAGCAAAGCAGGGATGAAGCAACGCATTTCGGCCTTTTTTACAATCTTGGGCTGACAAAGTCCAAGGGCTTTGACAAAATGTGACGTGTTTGCTCGCAATCCTTCAAGCTTGTGTTACCTTATCCCTTGTCTGGTTTTCTAGCTGTTTCCATGCTTACTGTGCAAGACTGTTTGAAAGCTCCCAAAAATGTACCTCCTCCCAGCTTAAAGCCCTGAAGCCAAAAGGTCAAGACGGAGGTCCACCCCCAAATGGCGTGTCTAGCTATGATTTCCGTCGCTTCCACAGCGAGCGAGCTGCAGATTCGAGTTGCTGGGCTTCAGATCATTCATGGTGGTTACGTGGTTGGGGATAGTACCCGGTATCTTCGAGAAATATTCATCAGATGCTGACTGATCATGCTTTCATCTTCATAAGAAGAACATTGTGACGGACACCATTGAGGTTCAGCTGTCCTGCATCTTTAGGGCATTGCCTTGACTAAAGCAATGAAAGGTGGAGCACCTCAGCCGGCAGAACGAGTACAACTTCAAAAGTCGCTATTTGATTTTTGACGCTCAGCGAATGTCTGTGATATTGCTTGTCCAAGAGGGTTTAGGATGGTTTAGGGTCTAGGGTTGGGGATTGATGGTTGGCGTTTGGGGTGTGGTGTGCTTTTACATCGCTTCTGAAGTGAGCCCGGAAACAGGTCGTTCATCTTGCGTCCACACGAGAGTGCAACTAAGGATACAAAAGGCTGGCTTACCCAAATTTGTGTGACAACTCTCGGATCACCCCTCCCAAACTCCAACCCCTAAATTGCCCTGACAGGCGAGGATTTGATCGGCCCAATGAAGGAGGTTGCAGATAACCTAGTCAAGGGCAACTTTGTTGATACCTGGATGACGGTGGATTACTCTGAGCCCTACAAGATTGGCAGCCTGGCCGAGCTTGATAAGCTTATTTTTTTTTTCTACTTAACAGCGTGGAACAAGAAATGCTGCTGCTGCTACTACCACCAATACTGCTATTATTTTGATTATTATTATTATTACTACTACTACTACTACTCCACCTGCAGCGGCTGCGACGAATTAACAGAAGCTATCAATGACAGCACCATGTTCAGAAGACACATGTGCGCCAACACAAATTTCTTAGCACATCGACCAACGAAGGCTCGCGTGCTGGCACACACATGCACATGCCAAATCCACACTACGATGATAAGCACGTGGCAAGTTTGTCTCTACAACGTTTGTTGAACCACACTTCCTGCAAATGAAGAATGAGGATAATTTATTTGTTGATTTTGTCTCGTGGATTTTTTCTGCCACACCATTCATGCTTGTCCCAGGCTCTCGTATAGAGATTTGTGAGGTTTTCGGAGGACATGCTTTCCGCAACTAGCGCTAGTTAGCTGCAGCTCTGGGCAAAGAGGGAAGTACTTTTGTCACCCAGCCGGTTTGATGTGCTCTTGTCAAGTGGTGCAAAAGAACATTAACAAGTAGTTTCCATTTGATTTTCCATTATCCCAATATAGCCCCAATATAACCCTATATAATCCCTATATAATGCCTATATAATGTCCCTATATAACCAAGTTCTGGTCTTCTTCCAAACCCTGGATGCTAATCCCTTTGAATTGGCTCAGGGGCGCAGCCCTAAACGCAACCCTAAAACCGTTTGCGCAGCCGAGGCGTCAATAAGACAGCGCAGTGGGGCAGCAAAGATGAGTTGCGACCAGGTAGGCAGTTTCTGAAAGCAACTTATTGGAGAATTCTGTGGGGAACCTCCATAATGCTATGATCAACCCCATATGATCATAACTTCCATGTCCCAGAAATAGCCTCAGGTCCCCAGGTATCATCCTATTCTGAGAATCCCTGAGGTGTCACACATGGTAGGTCATTCGATGATTCGCAGACTTCAGATATCGAGCTTGCTCATTACTACGCGGTGGATCAATGTGATGCACCATACGTTGCTATTTATCAAACAGACATGCTCCTCGTCTCAACTTGATGTGGGCTTTCTTCATCAAGTGCAGCATCTCTACCACTTGCTAGCCGGTGGTGCGTGAATCTGGTTCTTTGGATTGTGTGAAAAGCAGCTTTGCAACGAGATGGTGCAATCAAGGGCTCAGATCATGTCTGAAGAACTGCCGCTGCATGAACGGTTCATGCACTCCAGACTCGACTTGGGTTCCTGATCGCACCAAGGATCATGTACACAAAGAGAGGATATACCTGGGTGGAGGTCGGGTTAGAATGTTGTGCTAGCTTCAAACGGGGGTGTAGGTGGCTCACATCTTGCTGTTGCAACCATGGACTTGGCATGACTTGGCAGGAGTGAGACTCACATGACGTAATCAAGTTCAGAATATCGGGCGTCACAGCAGCACAAGATGGTAGAAAGGAGGGTGCTTGTAAAACGGCGCGGCGAAATTCACTGGAAAGCTCCCTAAGCCTAGTGGAAGGCCTAAGCCCTCAACCAATGACTCTAACGCACAGGCACAATCATCTGACGAAGCCTCAGCAGTGAGCCCTAAAACCCCTAGCTCTTGAACCCGACAAAAGCGGGCTTCGCGAGCTGCCCTGGTTTATACTGGCATCATCCGAGCTGCACTCTAAACTCATGAAAAAGAGGGGTTATATGGGGGACCCTTACACGGGTTAGTAAGCGGGATACTAGGAGTTTAGACTATAGCTTCTTTCCCGCATTACACTACGTTGTACCCCAGTGCTCCCTGCATCCTTGACCCCAAGTACTTGCGGACTCGTTGGTACATATGTAGTTCTATAGAAGGTGGGATTACAGGTACCTAAAATGAGGTTTAACAGGTTATAGCTACAGTAACCGCATTAATAACCTCAATTGGAAGTACCCATCATGTTCCAAGTAAACTTGCAACTCCAACCCTCGGTACATCTCAGCCCTGCTAGGATGCGATGTTGGCACTGCAGCGCAATGAGGGGTTGGCTTCATGGCAAGATCATAGTCTCTGTAGCCCCCCCCCAACCATGAACTCCACAGAAGCCCTAAGCACTAAGCACTGATCTTGCTGCCCTGCCTGATTACATTTTGGCCAAGATATGACTCTCTAGTTTCAATACCCTGACAGCCTAAGCCAGTGAAGATCTCAACCTTCAGAGCTGCATGTCCTAACTCTCACCAACACATCTGAAATCTCCTTTGCCACCTGGGGGACTTCAGACCCTGCCCCCCTGAGCAGATGGCCTCAGCGTCTGACATGCCAGTGAGTGATCAATCCAGACCCCTCATCATTTCTCTTTATAGAGTCATCTCCGGAAATCTGTCAGTCCTGCCAAGCCGTTAGAGATGACAATGTCCAGTTGGGTTGCATTGTGTGGCAGGTTCAGGCTGAAGGTGTCTGAATTGTAAACTGGCCCTTGGGTCTGGACTGCAAGCATCCCTGTCAGGATGAGCTTTAGGGATCAAGAAACTACTATAGTATATTGGGGTTATATAGGGATAATGGAAAATCAAATGGAAACTACCATTTAGGGTTTAGGGTATTGAAAAAAATACCCTCAGCTGAAGGGGGCGCCCCGAAAAGAGTCTGGATTGCCTGCACTGACAGCCTTACCCCCTTCAGCTGGGGGTATTTTTTTCAATACCCTAAACTCTAAATGGTAGTTTCCATTTGATTTTCCATGATCCCTATATAACCCCAATATACTATAGTAGTTTCCATTATACTTCCCATTATCCCTAAGCCCTATTTACCCTAATGTAGTTCCCGCTCCGGCCAAGGTCCTCATCATCCCCTCCTTTCCGGGCATCGCCTCCCGAAGGGTGCGGTCTCGGCCCACGGTACGGCCCGGAACTTAGCCTAGCATTGTTTAAGGGTTTGAGGTTAAGACCCTAAACACTACACCCTAAACTCTAACCCTAGGCCTGAAGATTTAGGGTTCAGATGTATGTTGTCAAGGCTTTGGTGTCTCGTCTTGAGGGTTACGGCTTCATGGTTCAGAGTTTAAACCTACGGCTTCATGGTTGAGTTTTGAACCGGGTCTGGAATTTAGGGTGCAGGGCTTCAGGATCAGGGTATGGACTTCGTGGTGTAGGTTTTAAGAACTCAGTGCTCGTGTTTCTACAGTAGAAATTCTATTATGTATGGAATGTAGTTCAAGGGGTGGGGGGGCTGATTTCTGGAGCTCCGCATGGGACAAGAGCATGCTTTCGCTTCGAGGTCAGCATGTAGTCCCCCTCAAGGAGATCGAATACGGGGTATAGATGGGGTTCCAATTGTAACATACCCAATGCCATATTCTATCTATTTAAGGTGGGCTATGAGCTTAGGGTGTAGGGAGTACCTTCGGAGGCTCTCTCAGCAGGGCTGAGAAGCGCACAGCACCAGCTCGGGATGGAATTAGTATACTATAGTATATTATAGTATTTTAGGGGCTGGCAAGTAAGAATTCAGAGTTGATGCTCATGACCATTAATCAGAGTTGATCAAGTGGAACTGCTACTCCAAATCAAGTTTCTCAACCGCGCCTTTTTCTGTAAATCCTTAACGGACACAAGTAGAACCTGAAATCCAACGCCCTCAATATAAAATCCCTAAGCCTAAAGCTCGAATCCCACCAAGCAAGCACTTAAAGCTTGTCTTCCAGGCCCATATCCAAGTTCTTCAACAATCCGCTTGACGAATCCGTCAAGTTGGAAGATACCACCTGTCAGCATCCCTTTACGCTGCCAGGCTGGTGGGATTTCTGCAGCTTCTATAGCATCAGTAGAGGCGAAAGAGGCCTAGTAGCAGCAGCAAGAGGTTGAGGAGGGGGTTGTAGTGGTTGTGATAATACCTCAACACAGGTGCCGCTGAAGCTGCAGCTATCGCCGATGTTGCTGCCAGTATTGCAGTACTGCTGCTGCAGCTGCTCGAGTTGCTGCTTGCGGCATTGTCTTGTACGGATGTCCCCTTAAGCAAAAGCTGGCAGGTCGGGCATCCTTGATAGACATCCACAGATACAGACGGCTGCCAGCGCGGAGTGAGATCTTTGAATACCGCTGTGGTGGTCAACTTGTTCGAGGCACCTTGTGTAGCTTAGGTGTTTTGCAGGGAGCATGAAGACACCTCCTCGCCCTGAACCCTTAACCCAGCTGTTCTTTCGCAGGTATTCCTTGCAGAACTCTTCCGTGCCTCAGCTGATACTGCCAGGTTGTTTAAGCATCATTGTTGTATTATGGCAACTTTGGTTCTGAAGTGTTAAGACAGATACGGCACTATATATTTAGTATACCTAAAAAGGGCTCATAATTGTGACGATCTACCATATCCGCTTTCAATCAGCTGTGGTCATGATCCTCGGGATCCCTCGAAGATTTTCCCATCGGAATAAGCATCAAAGTTTCCGCGCAATGTTTGTGGATTGTAGGGAGGACGTCTAGAATCTCCTGGGTTGACCCTGTGGACTCGGACGATGCTCGTGCTGAAAATATCCTAAAAGTCGCATGTAAAAAACACCAATTTGAACCTGCTTCCAACCCATCTCCCTGATCCTAAATCGTAAGCCCTAAACCCTAGACCCTAGCAGGTACGTCAGAAAGTGCGGTGGCATGCGAACCTGGGAGGCAGCCCTGGAGTGCCGCTCGGGTGAAATCTCAGGACTTCTCCTCCTTCAGGGTTTAGGGTTTGGGGTTTAAGGTCTATTTCAAGCCTGTACGGCAACATAGAACCTGTTGTAAACCTTCTATGAACCCTATACAAACCGTCTTGGGGAGCAGGAATCTGGATATACATAAAGATGACGCTTCTCTGGAATTACAAAAGCACAAACATGAGTAAACTTGTTGCTGTTGATGGTCCTGACGTTAGATTTCAGGCACTAAACTCTGAACCCCTAAACCCTGAAACCCCTAAACTTTAAACCCCTTAATTCTAAACCCCTAAACCCTAAACTCCTAAACCCTCAAAACCCCCAAAACATTAAACCCCTAAATCCTAAATCCTAGAATATGTTGTGTCAGCACTCCCCCAGACTTTGTCGTGCTTGCATTGCATGTTGAAGGGCATTAGAGGTAGGCATAGAACATTGCCACCTAGGGCCTATGAAGGGGTTTAATCCCTAAACCCTAAACCCTTAGGGTTTAGGGTTTATGGAGGCATTGTCTCCAGGCAGAACTGTGAAGCCGAGGTGTGATCTGCAACAGCGAGAATACACGACAGGCGCTTTAGATGAAATGAAGAAGTCTGAATAGTAACCAATATCAGTCAGGTATTAGGACAACCCTGCCGTGTCGCACCATTGTCTTGCTGCTTGCTATAGTGTTCTATGCCCCCACCCCTTCTTCCTAAGAGAGGGTATTCGGACCCTAAACCCTAAACCTTAAATCTACAACGAGAGTTGTACAGGCTCACCTGGGCAACTGGCAGCAGTCCTGGGTGCAGCATGCACCGCTAACCTCCGTGAGGCGAGCTGCCATTCCTGACAGAGTCTGATAGCAAGTCAGAGCTTCTTTCTAATCAGTCTTATTCCCATGACCAACATTACAATGACGATCCCCAACCCTGAACACCAAACCCTAAACCCCAAACCCTCAACCCTAGACCCTCAACCCTAAATCCCAAGCCCTGAGCCCTAAACCCTGGCCCTGGAGAAAAGTTCCCTTATCAAAAAGAACCTAAACCCTAAACTTGACTTCCTGTGAGGTATGACATGGCCAGACTAAAGACTGACGCCGGGGCCTCAGCGTGGACTTCACAAGCCCGGCAAGCCCCGCGGTTCAGGGGTTCAGGGTTAGGGATGTAGGGTTAGGGGTTTTGGGTTAGGGGTTTAGGGGTTTAAGGCGTAGGTTTTTAGGGTTTAGGGAGAGAATAGTGCAAATGTCACCAATATTGTCCTCCTGTAATCCTTGTATAGATAGTTTTCTATGTTTTTGATATCCACAAGCCTCATTCTTCAAGAGGTCCCTACATAAGTTGACTGCCGCGAGAGGTGCTTATCATTGAAAGTGGGCGGGATGCCGCCGACGTCGGTTCGGAGTACAAGGGTCTCGTGACATAGCAGGGACCAAAGCAGTCCCACATGAATTGAAAGTCACGCAAGGAGAAAGAAGCAGTCTTGCGGTGGTGCGTTCTTAGAGTCCAGCGTCGCCTAGATTAGCAGTGAAGCGCAACTGCTGCATCATGCTGGTTTTTTCACCACAAGCTGTTTACACATCAGCAGCTTTTGGCACAGCTTTTGCCAATGAATTCAGTGTCAAACCTTCAATAAGCAGAATGCACTCGTATGAGCCTATGAGCCTTTGGTCATACCGCACCTCTGCGATTATCACTGGGAGTTCTTCAAGTTATGAGTTCCCTGTTCACGGTGCATTCGGGGGTAGAAGTTATGGGTGACCTTTTTTTGTAAAACCCAACCCCAAAACCCTGAAGCGTTTTGAATAATCACCCTTACTGTAGTTTGTCCAGTACCCAAGCTTTGGAAAGCAGTGAATGCGCCATGCTGCGGATGCGGCGTCTTTTCCTTGCTTTGTCGCTGAAGCTCAGCCAAGAAGAAGGGGTTAGGTTTCAGGGTCCTCCTTTTAGCATTTGGGGTTGAGGTTTTCAAGGTCCTTAAGTAGCTTCCAGCGTTTCCGTAATTGCTGTGTCACAAGTATTTGCTTGCATCTATTTTTGAATTCCTGGCGCACCGTCGCCAGGATCTTCTTAGAGATTTTCAGCGAGAACACCTGCGACGAGGACGGGGGTCCAGCTCAAATGACCTTGCTCTGGAATGGGCTGCCGACCAAGCGCCGGTGTCAAGGGGTATGAAACTGAAGCTTCCTCCACTTGCAGCAGCTAGACATGGGGAGGTGCAGTGCCAGTCGTGTTGTCGAAATGATTTTGCCTCAGAGTCCAACCGCTTTGAGATCCGGAGCCCATGAGTTTTCAGAGGGGTACCGCTTGCGCTTGACTTTTGCTTGGGGTTGTGAGTAGCACATTTTGCTAAATGTGCCTCCCATAAACCCTACACCTGAAACTTAAAAGTCTTAACCCCTAAACCCTAAACCCTAAACTCTGAACCCTAAACCCTACTAAACCCTAAACACCCCACCAGTAATCTGCAACTCTGAAGGACTCCGAGTCCTGCGCAGCCCAAGATAGCCCAGGCTGGCTGGGGTTTGCTAAAAGCACAAAAGCCCTTCGCGACATGAACTGCGGTGGGGAATTTAGAGGCTCTATCATATCAGGCTAAAGGAGAACCAAGTGAGAAAAGTGTGCAATGAAATGGAAGCTGGGCGTGTATGTGTATATCTAGGGTTTAGGATTCAGCGTTACAAAGGCTACGACTCTATGACGCATCCTGTAGCCATTATTGTACTTGTATGCGTGGCATGGTTCGCGATCAGTTTAAACATCACCAATGCAACACGTATGCTAGTGGCTGTATGAGTTTCATGTTCTTCCACGTCGTCATGTAGTTTTGCATGTGCATGTGGGCCTTCCTTCACTATCAGCATGGTCGTGGGTGATGCATGAAATGATATTCGCATGGCCGTCCATCTTTGAGTTGCTACATGTATCCTGGCGACTTATGTACGGATCATTATGCTGATCTACTCTTTCAGCCTCCAATGGGCATCCCCTTGGTCACACTCTGGGTCCTAGGCGCTACATTGCAGAGGGTTCCCCCGAAAATGACCCACGTGACATTGCCGCCTCAGGGGCTGACGATGGCGTATGCTTTGCAGTGATCGCAACAGAGGACCACTGGAAGGAGCTGGAAGTCAGGGTGGCCTGGATGGAGATGAGACTGTATGGTTAATGTCTAACCATGACCTTCCCTTTTTTTGATGATAGTGCCTTAGTATAATACAGCAGTTTCCATTTCCTTTTCCATGATCCCGATATATCCCCAATATAACCCTATATAACCCTATATAATTCCCTTCTTCCATGCATGGTACGTGCGGATCGCCCGGCAGCTTCAGGTCCCTGCCTGGCGATGGCGAGAGCTGTACATTGTTGGGTTTTTTGGGGTTATATGATATGGGGATTATATAGGGGATTATAAGGGTTCTATAGGGACTATATAGGGATTATTTTGGGGTATATTATGGGGTTATATCCTTCTTTTGTTGGATGTTCTGGAGTTCGGGTCCCTCTTGCAGCAACCTTTGCGCAACAGCCAATGTGATTGCCGTGGCAGAAAATAGGAAGACCTGAAGTTCTGAAGAGCCTTGAGTTAGTAGTATTGTTGTCCTTGCCGTTGATGGCCAAGTCATTATCCCGCCACAGGTTTCCCAGATTCTGCGACATCAGCATTACAAGTTCGCGAAGAGCTACATCTTGCTGGACACAGATGGCAGGAAACCCAGTGAGAGGCTTGCGGAAGCTTGGCCACACCGTTAAGAGTTTAGAGATGTGTGAGAAAATAGTCATATATGTACATATGTACAGAATCCTTATGCAGGGCATCAGATGAGCTACTTCAATATTTGCCTTACCCAGGGACTTAAGGGTGGACACAGGGGTCCCTCTCGTAGTTTTGTCGTTCAGTACAATCCCCAATAATTCCTTCATATAGTCGCTAAGTAGGACCCCGTGTACATCAAATTATGTAGGAGCTATTGGTTTTAGCTCATATTGTTACGGTTAAGTTACTGAAGGAATGCAGGATGATGGGATTAGGGTTCAGGGTTATGTTTAGAGTTTAGAATTGCTCTGGCGGCTGAATTGGCAGCTTTTTCAGGACTCTGCGCAGCAGCTGCATTTAACGGGGGCGCCAATTTCTACGCGGCACGTGTTTGCTCCCCTTTTTCATGGGCAGTTCTAAGTGGGGTTATTTGCGCCTGAAGCACAACCCCACCTAAAACAAGCCTTCAAGTCCCTTTGCAAAGGACGGCGCCAAGAAGTTGGTCAAGAGCGGTTTGCTCGACAAGTGGCTTGTGGTGGACTATTCCGAAAAGCAGCTCACTTCATTGGAGCTATCAGCAAGAGAGCTCTTGACCAGGGTTTAGGGTTCTTGGTTTCAGATGATGACATTCGGGTCAGATCCGGTCAGCAGATTGTGAATGCCATGGACTTTTTTCGTCAAAGATTGCCGCCCCAAGTCAAACATGGCCACTGAGGTTCATCAAGAAGATCAACGACACTGCAAACTGGGATCCGTATGAGCATTCCCCAGGCCCAGGATATCACGAACCTTGGTGGCCAAAGACAGACAAGGGCTGTCGACTCTTTGAGTAGTGTTCGTGGCGGCATGGTGGTGATGGTGGTGGCAGTAGTGATGGTAATTTGCATCACTTGGGGTTTGGCTCGGTTTGTTGAAGCTTCATCCCCCATCATGCTAAGGATCAACGCCGGACAGTCTCTTACACCGAATTCAATGAGGACCACGAAGCCAAGGACAGCGGTTGCGGCTTTAATCCGAAGCCAAGCCCGCGTTAGTTGATTTTTTTTAAATTGCCGCCCCAGCAAACACCTCAAAACCCATGTGTGCCAGACATTTTCATAATTTGGAGTCAGCTGCTCTAACTACCCATCTTGTGCATGCTCGCCAAAGTTCGACGAGTCACATTCGAGTGGCTTGGACTCGGATCACAGAATCAGAACAGAGGCGGAGCCAGATCAGCCAGACTTCAGGGTTCCGGGTTTATGAGCTCAGGAGTGTTGGCTTCGGACCCAATATAATATTTCCTTACATTTATATAACCCTATGTAATATAGTAGTTTCCATTTTTGTTTTCCAATATCCCAATATAACCCCAAAGCAACCCTAATATAACCCTAGACTAAAAACAATATAACCCTAATATGAGCTCGTGCCTTGGCGGTTCGAGTCCCAGCTTTTCCAAGCTAAAGCTATGTCAATGTGAGCGCCACGCAATCCCCGCGTCGCCCTGCAAAGACAATGGTTTTAACTCAGTCGCTTTCCTGCAGTATGCGTGTGTTGTGCATTTATACATGCTAGTATGTAATACCTTATTTAATAGCCTGGGAGGCCCTAAAGCCTTCAACATGAAACGCCAAAAACCTTTGGGCCCAAAACTCGAATCCCGAAGCCCTGCGCACTAACCGCTGGCCCGAAGACCTCCAAACCAAAACTCCCAGCCCTACAGTCGTAAACCCTGAAGGAGCGTACTGCGCATTATTTTGCAATCGACCAATGCGGTCATGGCTTCTTGGTGATAGGTTTTAAGCAGGATTCGACTTGCTTTCTTGCAGGCCCTATTCTAGCGTCAATACTTCGAGACAATAACAGTCATGTTGTTCTTTCCGGTTTGGGGTTCAGGGGATGATGGCACACACTTTGAAATCACAGGGTGCCAGGATTCTAGGACCAGAGTGTGTCTCAAAACACGGCATGAATTTCAGAAGACCCAGAAAGGAAGGAACCTAAATTGTGAAAGCCAAGCAATGCATGTTTGAGTAAATGGCTTAGGATGAACATGCAGATATCAAGCTCCGGGTGTGCAAGATGCTGGCTTCCTTGCAAAGTTTCACATTTTGAGCTTCAGTCTTGTATGGGGGCCATTCTGAACTGGCAGCCTCTGCTTCTCTCCGTTGGTGCCATTTTGTTTCGCATTTGTTGTTCAACGAGGAGCCGTATTTGAATGGACAACTTCTCATTTTGGGTTCATCTAGTCAATCCCCTAAACCCTAACCCTAAAGCCTGTTGTTCACAACACCCAGCATTTCATATGACCTTCTCCCTCTTTGGGCTTAGGGGTGCGTTGCTTGCTGCTGATGTTGGGGTCCACCAGCAGATCGTGCCGCTCCATCCAACCATTCCTCTCATTATTGTTGCTATCATTGCTACTAACATCACTATTAACATTACTACTAAGATTATCACGAACATGATTATCAATTTATTACGAATAGTATTACTCATATCACTACTATTATAAGAGGCGTCTACAACACCCACGCATCCTGAGGCTATCTAGCCGTCATGCAGATCGAGGTCATCTGGATGAGCTACCGCAGCTACTCGTGGATCGCCGCAGGCCGGTTGCCAATCGTGGCCTAGTGAAAAGTGCGGGTCCTCTGTTTGGGCGAGCATACATCATTTATTCAGGATATTCTGCGTGTGATGTTGTAGCTGCTATCCAAAGTTATCGAGATCCGAGTTCAGATTATTTTTCAATTGAAAATCAATCTGAGCGTATTTCCTGCCCTGCCTTGAGTGCTTCAGACTTCTGCTCTGACTGAAGGTCTCAAACTCAAATTAAGTTACTATATTGGGGAAACCCTATTATTTACTATATATACCCATTATGGTAACTTAATTTAAGTTCCTTAACAGCAACCCAGCTGAAGGTCTCGAAGTCCTTAAGGACAACGATGGCCTCGTCCTGGTCCAGCCAGCCTACCCTGGCATTGAATACCGGCGTGTGCGATGCTCTGGCATCACTTGAGCCATAGTCTAAACTCCTTAAAGGGGTGTATATAGGGGATTATACAGGGGACTACTATAGGGGTGATTAAGGGGGATACTAGGAGTTTACTTTAGTCTGGGTTGCTGTTAAGGAACTTAAATTAAGTTACCATAATGGGTATATATAGTAAATAATAGGGTTTCCCCAATATGGTAACTTAATTCAAGTTCCTTAACAGCATCACTTTAGTACTCGACTTCGCTCGTGACGGCTATGGTGACTTTGCCAAGGACAAAAGCCGACCACCAAAGAGATTAGGAAGAAGCACAAGCAGCTCCACCATCCCAAAGTGGAGGTTCGCAGCATTTGTTTCAATTCGCGCTTTCCAGTCAGCTGAACTTGTGGCAGGGACCTGATTGAGACTTCGATCTTTTACTTTGCAGGCGGAGGACACAACCTGCCAATACCCCATCAGCATACCCGGCTGGGTGAGCCTTGTTGGCAGCAAGAATTTCTATTCCAGCCTCAAGGCGCCAATTCAGGATGCCATAATCAGAAGACGCCATCTATAGGGAGCCTTAGAGAGGCAGAATTTGGGTTTAGGGTTTTGGGTTTAGGCTTATGGGTCCTCCTGAAGTCGGCGGCGCTGAAGGGATTGCCTAGCCCAAGCTTCCAAAGGAGCCTTTTGGACTTGCAGCGCTACCACAAGGTGGGCCCTCGCCGCCTGCCTAAAGTGTTTCAGTCAGGTCTCATCCTGTCTCGGCTACCTAGTACTATTACTGCTAGTACTATTGCTATTGCTATGACTATTACTGCTACTATTATCATTGCTCCCATTATTATTTGGAGTTTCTTGTCTGGGGTCAGGTCAGAAGTATCGCGAGTACCGCTGCGGGGGCGCGCTGGTCAAGGGCAAGAAGTGCAAGGACTACGACTACCTCCGAGGCCCGCCTAGGAGGAGGAGCACGAGCGGAAACAGCAAAGGAGCACCGCAAAGACTCTCCCGTACAAGTAAGATCGCAACAGTATTGCTTGTGTAATTAGGCGAGAGTCACCCGGAGAAAGCATCCAATTCTGACGGCTCCTCTTCCAGCTGTATTGGGCAACCACAGGGGTCTTCCCGTGATGTGGTAGACGAGCAGGCTGCGGCGGCATGCGGCTCTGGGAAAATTCCCTTGAGTGCGTGATTTGCAACCGCCCGTCCCTGCGCCCGAGCCTCGTACCTTCTCAGGCCCAAGGAGTGGGCTGACATAGGCTTCGCGGGCCAATGCCTCGTATGGGTGCCTTTCTTCCGTGTGGTGCAAACCTGAAAGGAAACTTAGTGTCATCCTAAAAAAAACAATCTTCAATCTACTGCTTTACAGGCCTTCCAAACATCATGCTGAGGCCAAGCCCAGCTGACGGATTCGGACCGTGTTTGGGTGCAGAAGGCGCAAACGAAGAATGGGTTGAACTGGGAACCGGATGGCGCAACTGGGCCCTGAACTTTAAGCTACAAGTATTGATAGTTGAGGTTTCAATTGTTGATCGTTGCTCTTCTGGTCAAAAGGGCCCTGTGACACCCCAATGGAGAGCTGTCCAAAGATTTGGGGTTCGCGTTCATTGGATTGCCGGGCTCTTGCCTGTTCTGGTCTGGAGAGGCGCCGATCACGTGCTTTCGATCTGATGTGCCGACAATGATCGATGGGATCAACCTCGTGGAGATACTCGTAAGAACTCAGAGGTCATATGAGTCATACGAGGCAAATCCATGCCGCCATGCTGAAGTTTCTCATCCTGATCCCTGATTCTACATTGATGTCTCCCATGTATTCCAGCCGTGATCTCAGGAATGGCACTGTTTTTCCGGTGTCTGGCATGGACTTCGTCCTCAAGATGGAAGAAGATGAAGATTCTGACCTGTGACATGTCGAGCACACATTTGGCATGCGTGTCCAGATTCCGAAAAGGTTTCTTAGGCTGGGTGGTGGAATTCGTCCTCTGCTGGGCAGCAGGCGCAGTCGCAAAGTTGGCTGCACGCCTTTGTTCTTTGCAGGAGCAGACGGATCAGCCTCTGGGCATCTTGCAAGAAGTAGGTTTTCAACGTAGCCTTTCAGACCCGGTGAATTTGCCGAAGCCCTGGCTGACCGGAGCTTCACCGTGCGCTCGAGAGCGTGATCGATTGTGTTGCAAAGCGTGGCTTTAAGCCAGGACAACAGTCGATGAAAGCCCAAAAGGAGCGAAAAGTTACTGCGTCAGCTCTCTGTCTTGCCGAAATCAATCCAAGTAGCCCAGGGCCGTTATCCTGCTCCTTCCCATGCAACTGTCTCCGCAGCCTCCGAGCCTCTAGCCGATAGTCTTTTTTTTGCAGTGACACTGCTTTCGTGAGAGTCATGGCTGTCCAGGAGGTCTGACCAGGCCTAGGAATTCACCGTGGTCAAGACGGTGCCTGCCTTGGAGGAACCGTGCTTTGACAACAAACCATGCAGAAGAAATCAGGACACTTAGGGCCTTTTTAGCTAGGTTTTTTTACGGCTCAGTCCTGGAGGAGTTACCTGGAGAGGAGTTACCTGTAGTTTTCCTGGACATCAAAGGGTTCTTTGGCAGTCAGTTTGAGCTCTCAGACTGTTCCAAGGTCATGGATTTGCTGCTTGAGGATGATGACCCGGGATTGTAGGGCTTACATATGGGTACATAGGTATATGTAGTGGAAATACAGATGCATAGGGTTGAGGATTGAGAGTTTGGGCTCAGGGCTTGGGGTGCCAGATACGAGCGGGTACAGTTTGCACATGTGACGCTGTCAGTGTTGCTAGATAACTTTATTCTTGCTGGTATCTTCATTACGCTCTTGTCACCTTTTGGTGGCTTGAACCATGCGGCGTGAAAAAGCCGCAAACATTGAAAGTAGAAGCCAATGTCAAGTTCTTGCTAGTGCCGGATGTGGCTGAATGAGCTGCGTGCAATTGCTTTGAATGCTTGACATTTTGTCGTCTCGATGGTCGAGTTGGCTTGAGCCATGTGACCTGCACGCGACACGGTGTTGACTGGCTAGACAGCAGTCGGGTCAGGAGTTTTCTATGGAAGCCAGCAAGGTGTGCCAAAGACCTTGCTACGTCTCAATGAGCAACAAACCCAAACAAAAACATACCCTTGGTGATTTGATGTGATTGGCATCAGAAAGCCGTTTATGGAACCTGGAATGGAAGCCTGCAAGGCTGGGATTGCCTTTGAAACATGGTTGGGCATCCGCCGCAACACTACGGTGGCCTGTTGCAAGCTTCTTCTGAAATTGGTGCCAGGAGACTTGCCGTACAATCAAGAGCCAAGGCCTCAGACAACTTCTCCAACTTTTCCATGCCATTTTGATGTGCCAATTTGGCGGGCAGTTTTTCCACAAGCCCCAGACTCAGACACCGCTGAGGAATCATCGTCCCAAGCAGGAGTAGAGGACCATGGGATGAAATGACGTGGTGAGTTTGCAAACATTCATGTTTGGGAAAAACTTGCTGTATTTCGGTAGCCTTCTACTGGGTTGTGTCGGGGGTATATTTGGATTTCTTTTGTTCCCAGGGCCATGAAGCTGGATAGTACGTCACTGCACACCGGATCCTGGTTTCAGGGCCAGATTTCAAGATTTTTGACCCTCTTATGGACTGAGCGTCCGAGACAGGTGAACTATGTCATGCATCTCCCGATCCACGTGCATGATAAGATTTCTTCTACATGCCTTCATGCTTATGGAAGCACGGTAATGGGAGTTTGATGTGAATTGCTTCGTGCCAGTTGTGCGTATGGAGCTCTTGGCTCTATGGACCTCCCTGTTGGGTGCCTCGACTGTCGCGGAAATCCCAAGTTTGCCGCTGAAGAAATGCGCAGTCATTTGATGAACTTCACATATGGGCGTGGGAACAGCAATGGGGTCTAGCAGGGCGCGTCAGGAAGCATGGGCGGCATGGTTTTGCAATGGTTTGCAGCTATGTTTTGGGCTGTCCCAGCAGGGCCTCGTTTTTGCGTAGCTTGGCAAAGCCTTGGCCAGTTAGTTTGACTTCGTGTGAGTCATCCAAGTTTCACATGGATTTGCATTGTCAGGAGACGGATATTTTTCTGTGGCATGGGCAAGCAGACATGAACTCTATCCCCCTGGGCCCGAAGGCTAATAGCGCCTCGTGCTGCTGATTTCCCAGATCTTACCAGGCCACCCCGCTGGGCTGTCGATTCTTCCAATTGTTGCACCTCTGCCCTCAGATGCATACATATCAGTACGGACAGCTGAATGGTTTTGGCAGTTGAAATTTTTGGTCTTAGTATTGCGTAACAGTCATGTGTTTTTCTTCAGTGTGTGGCATCTGTCTGGGTTACATGCCGTGGCGCTGCTTGGAGGGTTAGGGTGACCTTATACGTATACTTACAACCCCTACGGGGCCACAAACAAGCCAAGTTATAACCCCATTGTTCACCTACTTACGAAGTCCCCATGAACTTTCAAGTAGATGCCAGGCAGCTGTGTTCACAAGAAAACCAACCTCGCCATCAGCTCAGCCAGGGACACAAGATCTACTACCCCTGCTGACCCATGCCGCGGAGCAACCTTTGCCTTGTCCCTGCCTTCTTCATAGGCTCGCAAGCCATGTTGGGGTTGTGGGCCGGCTGGAGGTTGCCGTGGGGAGTATGGTGAAACCCTTGCTGCGCAACAGAATTATGGCATAAATATAGCCAGCATCAGGATTGGCACATAGAAGAGTGGGAGCGCTGCACGCTGTAGTGGCCGTCGCAACAGCCAAGATTCCGATGATAGCAAGGCCAGCAATAGTCAGAAAGAAGAATAATGAGATGTAGGAATGATAAAGTTGAAATCACTTGCAACGATAGTAGTCACAGTGATCGTCGCATGGAAATATCATAGAATTGATGCCGTTGAAGACTGATAGTCCTGCGGAGGCTACCTGAACCTCACCCTTGACATCGGCACGCTCGCCTTTCAATTCCAAAGCCCGGGTCAGAGCTTGGCCCTGCGCCCCACACTCGGAGGCCAGCGTTGAGAGCATCATTGTTCATCATGTGCTTGGTGCTTCGTCCGAACGAAAGAAATGGATCCCTCAAGCAGCCTATGCAATGGTTCTAGTCCTGCTATTCCAGCTTCAGGACATGAATCAAGGACACCCTAACAAGACTGGCCTTTAGGGAGCCTTAAGAAGGCCCTCAGGGAGGCCTGAATTACATGTCGCCTTGACATGAGGATACATGAGGCTCGCCGTAGAATCCTGGACCCAAGCATCTGAAGGAGCCTTTTGGACTTGCAGCGCTACCATAAGGTGGGCCGTGGCCGCCTGCCTGAAGTGATGCAATCAGTTCTCATCTTGCTTCAGACAACCTTTACCTTCCCTCTCTTGCGTGGTGACGGTGTCAGGTCAGAAGTAACGCGTGAGTACGTTGTGGGGAGCGCTGGTCAAGTGCAAGAAGTGCACGGACTATGACTACCTCCGAGGCAGAAGCAGCAGAACGCGTACCGCAGCACTACAACGACTATGCAAGTTCAAGTAAGATCGTATCCTATTCCTCGTGATGCATATTAGACTCACCCCCATCTCGAAACCACTTGGGCTCCTCCATTAGCAAAATTGTAGGTTTTCCCCCCAAAGAATGTGTCGCTAGCATGCTAGAAATCACATCCCTATAGAATAACTATGCGCTCACCACGTGCGTAGCTTCACAGTTGTGCTGTAGCGATTGTAGTGCACCTATGTACTCCCTCTGTATGCATCATCCAAGAAACGCTTGTTTCACAGTAATTGCCTGCATTGAAGACTCCCAGTTCAATTCCGAAACAACAACTTACTAGTACGCCCGAATCGGAATTTTGGGGAACCGGATGCCTCACACCCCTCTATGGATGTCTTTACATGCGTGCCGGACTGAAGCTCTTGCATAGCGCGAAGACCATGGGAAAAAGGTTTGGCCCCCATCGGTTATGCGAGTTCTAGGGGGTATCGGCGGAGGGTTGGTCCGTATCAGTTTTCGCTTAAAACGTGTCATGCTGCCTCTTCCATAGATTTAGTCTGACACTCCCTAATGTGCCCCTGGCGATCTGTCAGACAATCAGGCCGCGGCCGCATGCAGTTCTGGGAAAATTCCCTTGAGTGCATGAGTTGCGACCGCTCGTCCCTGTGCCCGAGCCTCGTATGTTCTCGGGCCTAAGCTGTGGACTGGCATAGGCCTTGTGGGTCAATGCCTCGTATGCTTTTGCTTTTCTTCCATTTGGTGGCGGCGCATGTGCACCGTATTTTGTACATCCTCAAGCACAGTCTTCAGTCTTTCGGTTTGTAGGGCTTCAATGTTTGGACATGCTGAGGCCAAGCCCAGCTGACGGCTTCAGACCGTGTTTGGGTGCAGAAGGCGCAAACAGGATTCCAGGCAACTGGGCCCTGAAATTTGATAAGCTACATATGCT